TCCTATCTGTGTTTTCTAGGATCATCTCCCAAATAAACTACTTGAACCTGAATTTTTATCTCAAGGTCTTCTGATTTGGGGAACCCAAACCAAGACAATATGAGCTTTTTTTTCCCCTTATTTAGTCAATATACCTGATCATTCATGCATTTTTTCACATTTTGATATTGGAGTTAGAATTACCTATTTTAAAATATTAAGAAGGAAAAGATATTTGTGAAGGGCAACGCTGATAGATCACAAACCAGGAGCTTAATACATAATTACAGTTACCACCAAATTGTCTTAATAAACAGGTTAAGATTTAAAGTATTACAAGTTATGAATAATAACTATTATATTCAAAGTTCATTACCCTCTCTTTATCTTAAATGTGCCATATTGAGCTCAAGATTTTCTTGGAGGTATAAATGAACTAAAATGTAGGAAAAGGGAAAAAACTAGCAAACCATGGTGAGGAGAATATCTTAGGCAAGGTGTACCTAATGTGTCATTTGAGTGCTATAAGGAAGAAACATTCAACAATGTAAATATGCTCATAATAGACTGCCATCACTTTTAGGGAGAGATTAGGGCTCAGTAGGAAGTCTGTTGAGAAGGTTTAGAATGGAGAGACATTTTGAGTCAAATGACGTTTCTTATATCTAAAATCAATATAGTCTTTTTTTTTTTTTTGTGAGGAAGATCAGCCCTGAACTAACATCCGTGCTAATCCTCCTCATTTTACTGAGGAAGACCGCCTCTGAGCTAACATCTGTTGCCAATCCTCCTCCTTTTTTTTCTTCCCCCCCAAAGCCCCAGTAGATAGTTGTATGTCATAGTTGCACATCCTTCTAGTTGCTGTATGTGGGATGCGGCCTCAGCATGGCCGGAGAAGCGGTGCGTCGGTGCGCGCCGGGGATCCGAACCCGGGCCACCAGTAGCGGAGCGCGCGCACTTAACCACTAAGCCACGGGCCGGCCCAATATAGTCTTAATTAAAACAATCTCCCAAGATGGCTCTGAAAGACAGTAAACAATGTTAAACTAAACTGGGTCAGAGCCCAGAAAGTCAGCTAGACTGGAAGTACATGCAACTAGGGAAAAAAACCAAGACAAAAAACTTTCAAAAGCAACTAACCGTTTGGAATGGGGGGAAGAGGCAGGAGAGGGGATGCAGGAAACAAAAGAAAATTGCCAGTTTTCATCTTGCTTCAGGCCAGGAATTAGACATGATCACTCCAGCAGAATCTGTCTAGAGGCCGTTCTTCCAGCTGCTCACTTTAAACTAAGACTTTGCAAAGGTAAAACAAGGACAGTCTAGACAACGTAACTTGCCTTGTATGGATAATGAAGGTTTTTAAAGAGGACACACAGAATTCAAATCTACAAGAGTCAAACTTAAAAGCCTATTCAGGGCTGTGACTGCCCCCAACTTCCATGCTACCTCCAGAGGAGTTAAATAAAAAAAAAATTCGTGACTCAGTCATTTTAATGTATTTTACTAGGACAGATTGTAATATTTTTCTGAACTTACAAGATACATTAAGGCTATATGTCTACACAATAGCAAACACCCAGAAGAAATGTAGAAATTTCTGTCCAGATTAAAGTCAGTGCAAATGATGGCTGTTGGATCTCACATATGATGTTTGAAATACATTCAAAGATAAATGCTCAATGATATATCAGGTCTGTGCTAGTCAGATTCAAAGAATTCAGAGTCTAATTGGTCAGGAGATTCCCCTGAACACTTCTGTTTCAAACTAAAGATTTATTTACTTAAGTACATTTATTAGGTGTTCATCCAACCATCACCACTAAATAAAGACAACTTATTACATTGCCAGCTTGCTATGCACTGAATTCTCTAAGGTGGTCAGGAGGCATCCATTAAAAAAGCAAGCATAGAGATGGCCTTGGGCAAACTCCATTACAGCACAATACCACTTCACCTTAGTCAGAATAGACTTAGTTTTTCTGTGATAACAAACCACTCCCAGATCTCAGTGGATTAGTCCAACACAAGTTTATTTCTTATTCACACTACATGCTCCATGTGAACCAGCAAAAACTATTCCACCCAGTCACTAAAGGACTCACCTTAAGTGCTCCACCTTCTGGAACACTGGCCAGGAAGAGGCAGTGGAAGGAAAGGGAGAGACTGGAAAACCCCACACACATGACTTCTGCTCATGTTTCATTAGCCAGAATTAATACTACGGCTCCTTCTAACACAAGGGGGTTGTGAAGTGCTGTGTCAGTTTTGCCTGGAAGATGAAGGGAACTGGATATTGGAGTAATTTCCACCACACACCTCAATGACCTGGAACTTGGGATGATTTCCTAGCACAATGTAAGGGTAGAAACAGACATTGAGAGGCAAAGCTAAGGACACATAACAAAAGGCATGAGTCATGGCTCAGAGGTCCCAAGCCAAGGGTCAATGAGGAAGGAAATTCAGAAAGCCCTAAGCAAAGGAGAGAGCAAGTATCAAAATCCTGAGAATGTCTTCAAGTGGCAAAGGCCAACCTGTCATAAAGATTTTTAAATTAACTTCATTTTGACACAAGTAACGTTTTTCTCAGAGCATCTTAATATGTCACTTGATATCTGACATCAACCCATCTGCTTTTCTCAAAATATGGTCCTTGCATCTTCAGGAACAGATACATGAGGGGCTTAACAGAAATACAGATTCCTAGGACCCACCCAAAACCTTTGGACTAAAATCTCTGATGATTTGAGGTCCAGGAATCTCCTTTCAAACAAGTATCCCCTCAGTAATTTTAATGCTTTCTAAACTTTGGGAATCTTTGTTTTAGACTTCTGCCAGTATTCAGGGCAGGTCTGAGATCTGAGTTGGGTTCAGGCCCTGGGAGAATGCCTCCACTTCTCCTAGTCACCAGGGTAGAGCCTGCCTAGTACCAGAAGGCATTTGATGAGGTCCAGACTGTGCATTTAGGCTAATGGGGACTTCCCTGGCTTCCATTTGGGAGGTTGATTTTGAGATCCTGCTGAACTTGGTTTGGGAAAGACTGGTTGAACACAGAGCAGCTTCAAGGATAACAGAATTTGTAGGTAGGTTTGCCAACAATGATGGGGATGGAGAAGAGCCCAGAGTTTCCGTTGTTGAGGTTTGGGAAATGGTCAGGTGGACCAAATGAGGACCTTGGGATTTTCCAGGCACATGCTACAACTGCTGCTCCTTAAACAGGCTGTGCTGGGCAGGGAGGGGACAGCTGGTGAATCCTGTACCTTCTTTGCTGAGATTGGGATGAGGGGGTTGCAAAATGTTGTCATGGTTATTAGAAACTGTGAGATAATAGAAAATATATGCATTGGTCTCCACCCCTAGTTTCTGGTACAGAGTTCCTAAATCCCTTGGAATTTCCTGGGTGATAGCGGTGTATTTTGTTCTAATGAGGTGACTCTTGATGGGTTCCTGGATGGGGGCTGATCACCAGAAAGACCAAGCCATGATTAGAAGCTTGGAATTTTCAATCCCACCCCCATTCTCCAGAGAGGGGAGAGGGGCTGAAAATGGAGTTAATGATCTATCATGCCTACGTAATGAAGCCTCCATAAAAATCCCAAAAGTTCGGGGTTTGGAGAACTGCCAGGTTGGTGAACACATGGAGGTGCTGGGAGAGTGGCATGACCAGAGAGGGCATGTCAGCTCTGCACTCCTTCCCACATACCTTGCCCTACGCATCTCTTCCATCTGGATGTTCATCTGTGTCCTTTATCATGTCTTTTTATAATAAACTGGTAAACAGTAAGTAAACTCTTTTCCTGAGTTCTGTGAGCTGCTCTAGCAAATCAACTGAACCTGAGGAGGAGGTTGTGGGAACCTCCAATTTATAGCCAATTGGTCAGAAGCACAGGTGACAACCTAGACTTGTGACTGGCATCTGAAGTGGGGGTCTGAGGGGGCAGTCTTGTGGGACTGAGCCCTTAACCTGTGGGATCTGATGCTGTCTCGGGGTAGACAGTGTCAGAATTGAGTTGCATTATAGGACACCCAGGTGGTGTTGCAGAATTGCTCGGTGTGGAGGAAAAAAATCCCACACATCTTTTGTCAGAGGTGTTGTGAGTGTGGCAGTAGTGTGAGAGTAAAGGAGAAGCATAGAAAGAAGACTGAGTTTTTCCCAACCTGGAAACTTTTTTTAAATAAAGAGAAAAATACACACCAGGTAATTATAAAATAGAGCTATTTACATACTTTGCAGGAGGGAGTAGTGAAAGCAAAATGGACACACCAGAGAGTTTTAAAACTTCCACAACCTAAGATTAATAGTGAATCATGGGTTAACATTCCCTGCCCTGAAATATTGAGAGAAAATTCTGATAGCCAAACAAAATGCAACTATGAATCTTGGATTGAAAAATAAGAACATGAAAAAAAAGAACGATGATGTGTATGTATCTGGAGGAGGGTATCTCCAAAATGTAAAGTATCTGTTGTAAAGAATTGTTTTACTGTCCCACAGAAATTATTTTGCTTGAATAGAAGTATTTATTACCTGTAGAATGAATCAGCCCTTTGTGAGCTCTTCAAACCTATGATCAGGAAGTGAGCTATCTTTGGAAGTATAACATCACAGCCTACATGATATGGGGCCTAGGGTCAACATCAGAGGTCTAGGAGTGGGTAAGAAGTTCAGACCGCAATGTAAGAAACAGAGACAAGGTACTGAGCACAGTGGCTCTTAGTAAATAAAATGAAAGTATGGTACACAAAATACCTGCAAACAATGTTATTCTTCAGGGTAATCAATACTAGCAGCTATTAATATGCACCCCCCACCCCCCAAGTCTCAATGGCTTAGTAATAAAAATTTCTTTTTTTTTTTTTGGTTTGTCTTATTTTGTTTCAGTTTTATTGAGGTATAGCTGAGAAATAAAATTGTAAGATATTTAAAGCATACATCGTGGTGATTTGTTATACAAATACATTGTGGAAGGATTCTCACCATCTAGTTTAAAAATTCCTCTTTCTCACCTCCCTGCCCAAAAGAGATTGGGCAGTTCCCCTTGGAGGCTGTCCTCAAGACAGTGACTCAGAGATCTGGGCTACTTCTGTATTACAGCTCTGCTATCTCCTAGTACCTCCATAGACTCCTCTGCTTGGTCATCACTCAGCTGTCAAGTAAAGAGAGAGCAAGGAGGATCACCCAGAATGTTTCATAGACAAGTCTAGAAGTGATGTACATTACTTCCCTCCGCATTCCATTGGCCAGAACCTGGTCAAATAACACCAACCTAACTGCAAGCAGGACTGGGACATGAGTCTTCCTGTGTATCCAGGAAAAGGAAAAGGAATTGGTGAGCATCTAGTCAATCTCTGCCACATGATGACTACTAACCCATAATCTGCCTCTGTTTTAGTTAAAATCATACAACTTCCTAAAGTTGTTTATGCACGTTTTACAGTGTAGTTCCTAAAATATATTATTAAAATCTGCAGTAAATATTGGAATATCATTATTGGAATAGCTAAGATTCTCAATAAAACTTTTAAGAATGTAGGACTTGCTGGTAGTGTGTGAATTAAAATACAAGTATTCACAGTTCAAAATGGCTAAGTTTAGCAATTCCATCCTGGAATTTGGAGGGTAGCTAGCCTTCATTCCTATAATATGCCTTGTGAGACCAGTTTTGAAACGAGTATATGAGAGAGAACAATAGAAGAATGTTTGGGTTATAAATTTCAAATCTTATTTATGAATTTTTAACACTACATTTATAATCCCAGGGCCGGCCCCGTGGCTTAGCAGTTAAGTGAGCGCGCTCCGCTGCTGGCAGCCCGGGGTTCGGATCCCGGGCGCGCACCAACGCACCGCTTCTCTGGCCATGCTGAGGCCGTGTCCCACATACAGCAACTGGAAGGATGTGCAACCATGACATACAACTGTCTACTGGGGCTTTGGGGGAAAAATAAATAAATAAATAAATTTATAATCCCAGATCCATTCTAATACTATATCTCTCGGCACACTTACAGCAGACCCAGCAGAAAATCCGTTGACTAATGACAGCTAGTTTTGAACATTTCTGAGGTACCATCTCCACATACATACACAGCATCATCATGCTTTTTTTTTTCGTATTCTTATTTTTCAACCCAAAATTCATGGTCTCCATTTTTTTTAGATATAAGCATTTCCTCTCAGTATTCTAGAGCAGAGAATTTCAACCCATGATTCACAATTAACTTTTGTGACTTGTAGAAGTTTCAAAACTTTCTGTTGTGTCCATTTTGCTTTTAACTCTGTCCCTCCTTCTTTCTCTTCCCTCCTACAGAATATGTAACAGCTCTGTTTTATAACTATCCAGCATGTACTTTTCTCTTTATTTAAAAAAATTTTCCAATAGCCATGACAGCATTTTAAGCTTACACTAAGGGAAGGTATCTAAATATGAAACAGATGAATAAGTATATCTTGGGCAAAATAACTTACAAATATGAGAAAGAAAATTAGAGTAGTTGTATGTTTGTGGTTGAGAAAGTATGTCTGTTCAAATGTATGGGAGAGACTTAGTAGGGAGAAAGGACCACTGTTCAGAAGGATATTGTCTAGTTGTTGCATAAGCAACTGAGAATTCTGGGATGACCCTCAACCTCTTTGGCTGACAAAGTATCCTCAAGTAGACGCTTGGAGTTGAAAACAATTGATGCCAGGTGGGTAAAAAAGAAAGTTGATTCCATTTACCTTACCACCTCATTTATTTCTGGGGCAAGAGAGACAAATAATAAAATATATATGTATCAGCATCAAATGACCATCACATTTCATTTATTTTCAGGGCTCTCTATGGATACTGGTATTGAAAACATCTCAAAATCTAAGTAAGAGCAGCCCTTTATACAATAAATTAATGTAAACTATAGATTAGAACCAGTATAGAAAGCATTAATATTACCATATTTCAAATAGCAAGCAGAAAGGAAAACTATGAAAAGAAAAAAGAATAGTTACAGAGGACCCCAACCATGAGCTCTTATATTGAAGTGAAAAACAGTCCTACTATTTTGAGTCAATAATATTGTTACTTACAAAGCTTTGGTCAATAACAGCCTTTCATAAAAAGTATCTTTTTTTTTTCCTCTGTGAAGGTTTTTCATTTTACATTTGTCATGTAATCTATTGTATTAATAGCTATTTAAAGGCTGATTTATTTTTCTCCTAAAATAGACTTACTTTATGCACCATCTTTATGCAAATGGTGGAGCCCTCCTCAGCTGGAATTGCTGCTGATAAGTCATAATGTGGACTTTGCCCTCTGACCACTTTTGGAGAGTGACCAAATCAAGACAGAAAAATCGAATCTTGCCAAAGACCACATAGGAAGTTCTTGGCAAAGTCAGATGAGAAAACAGAGTTCATGAACTTCAAGGGCCAACATTTTTAACCACTGCCTCTGTTCCTTGTTTTGGAAACCCCTTTTGAATAAAAAAAAAAAAATGTAGAAAATTCTGGAATTTTCTTGTTTTTTTCCATGATCAGTTTAATGGAGTGGTGGAAAGAGCTCTGCACTAGGAGGCAGAGACTTAGACTCTTTAAAAAAAAAACAAAAACAACTTTGTATAGTGAAACATTTCAATGAATCCTTTGTCCCATCACTCAGCTTCAAGAATCTTAAACTCATAGCCTATCTTATTTCAACTATATCCCACTGAATTCCTTCCTCCCATATAATTTTGAAGCAAATTCCAGACATCATACCATTTCATCCATAAATATTTCAGCATATATCTCTAAAAGATGCATCTTTTTTTAAAAAAACATAACCACAATACCATTATCATACTTAAAGTATTTGATAATAATTATTTAATACCATCAAATAAACAGTCATTGGTCAACATTCCCACTATCTCATAAATATAATAATTTTTAACAGTTTGTTTGAATCAAGATCCAAATAAAGTCTACTCATTGTGATTCACTACATGTTTCATAGGTCTTTTAAAAATTTTCTAGGCCTTCCCTCCATATCTTTTTTTTATTTGTAACTTATTTGTTGAAGAAACCGGGTCATTTGTCCTGTAGACACATATTGAATTTTGCTGTTTGCAACCCTGTGATATTGTTTAATACATTCTTCAATTCTCTGGTTTTAATTGGTAGTTGAATCTAACAGGTTTGAAAAGATTCAGGTTTGGTTGTCTTTGATATATGGAGTGTGTTTTCATTAGGAGGCACTAATGTCCATATCTCCTGTTTTATCATGTTAGTAGATGTTGGTGCTCAATGTCTGGATTCATTAATTCATTAAGGATTGTATAATAATGATATTATAATTCTATTAGTCTCTTCATTTATTAGCCAGAATAAAAAGAAAATTTCCCTCATTTACTATATAGCTCCCCAGAAGTACAGTTCATAAAGCAAAGGTAGGATAAATGTTTAATTCTTTCTTTTCAATAGCAGTTTTCAAAATAATGAGCTGGTTTACTAGTATCCTACAATGATAACTAACTAGTTGTTATTTTTTAGTATCATTATGAACTCAAAGTAGTTTATAGTCAGTAGAGGAAATAGATGTACATCAACAATTATAATACGACATGATTTTGTGTTATAGTAAAAGTAAGTAAACACTTCTAGGGCATCCAGTGGTGAGAGTATCTAACTCTGCTTTATGGGGTATGACTAAGGCCTCAAAAAGGAGACAGTGCCTGAGTTGAGTGCTGAGAAATGGAGGTCACCAGGCAGAGAAAATCAAGAATTTGTTCTCCCGTGACTAATAGAACCTTAGCCGAGGCCACCTCGGAAAATAGTTCCAAGCTTTTTATCTGGTACAACTGATGAGGTGGTGGTAAATGGATGAAATTCACTAAGTCAGGATATGAAAGGGGTAACGAGGAGGAGTCATGTGGTGGGATGGGAACTGTAGGGATGGGGCGAAGAATTCAGTTCTTATATGTTGAGTTTGTGATGCATTTGGGATATCCAGGTAGAAATGTTTTGCAGACACCTGGAAAGATGGTCTAAAGCTCAGGAAAACCGCCCGTCTGGACAGGTCAATTTAAGATTTACCAGCATGTGATACTGAAGTCCTGCAAGTGGCATGAGATCCTTCAAGGAGGGTAGAATAAGAAGAGATGGGGCACGAAGATGAATCTACTACCGTATTTAAGGAGTCTGCAGAGGAAGAGAAATCTACAAGGGATCCTGAAAAGGAGCAGAGAAGTAGAAATAGCACAGAAGCCAAAGGAGGGGAGAGTTTAAGAATACACAGAGAGGTCCAGGAAAATATCAACTGAAAAGTAACCCCTGGGATTCTCAATTAGGTAGCCACTAGTGATCACACCAAAAGCCGTTTCAGTGGATTGGTGAGGATAGAAGCCACATTTCCATGGATGCAGAGTGAGTAAGAGGTGAGGAAATAGAGATAGAAGTGAAATTACTTTTTTCAAAAAGTTTGGTAGGGTCTGACAGCGTGAAAACTCATTATTATAGATTGTGTCCCATATGTAACATAAAATCAACCAACCGATAAATATTTATTGTGAGCTTATAATGTATAAGCCATTGTGCCAAAGTATTACTAGTGTAAAAAAAATATTTATGACATAGTCCTCACTGTAAAGGATACAATTGCGAAGGAGAAAGTATGCAAATTCATAAATGCATGTTTAAAAAGAAAGCTATTCAGAAATCCTAAGAAATCAAATTAAATAACACACTTTTAAAATATGTTGGCCTTTAACAACTCCGTAAAATTGTACAAGAAATGCATGTGCATGATTCTAAAAAACAAGGAAAATGTATGCTGTTAAAAAAGAAATACAAAATAAATTTGATGCATGAAACAAAAACAATTCTGTGAATCAATATATTTAGAAGTCTTTCGATTAGTAATACAGCACAAGATTCTTCTATCTATTCATTAAAAGATCAGATTCAGTCTCTCTGAATGTAGAAAGGATAATCACATTGTCTTACCCGCCACGGGTAGGCTAATATATGTATATGGAGTCAGTACAGTGTCTGTGAAGTTTTACAATAAGTGAATTCTTTATCAGCAATTCCACAAAGTCAGCAGTGGCTATCGTCATTACAACTTTCGGTGCCGAGGACTCCTCCTCAGCCTTCTTTCCCCCTCCATTGATGTTCAATGAAGAATTTTCACACTTAATGAAAGCACCCTCATAGTTCTAGAAATGGTTTTCACCATCCTGTTTTTGATCAGGTTTCTAATCAGAGCCTACTTCAGATTCAAGTGGAGACTGACCATGAAAAAGACCATTGGGTTACATAAGTGCTCCCTCTCAGCAGCATCCTAAACTATAGGAGGCTTCCTTTTGCTGCCTCTCATGGCAGCACTTTGAAATCCAGAAACCAAGTGTTAACACAGGCAAATAAGAATGAAATGATGGGCAGCACAGAGCCAAAAAAAAGTCATATCAAGATAAGAGAAATCATACTTGGAATGGCATCACCTCCTTCTCTAGGAAAGGAATGTTTCTATTTCCATTTAATTCTATTATCCACAGTAGGGTTACAAATAAGAGGTCAAGGGTGACAAACAAGCAGAGACAACTTACACAACACTGGATACATCTATCTTTTCCTTTCCTTCCTAAGACTCAATCCTGGCGTTGAGTTGTAAAGGGTGGATATAATGGACACTGTGCCATGCTTGAGTGCTGTGGCTCTCACAGAGAGGGTCCTCCATGTGTTCTGGCAGGTGGTTCACACCCGGAGAAAGGTTAGGGGGGCCTTTCCCTTGCTCTCCATTCCCTCATGAAAAGAGATCTCACTGGATGGTTCTGATATTGGCCTCTACCAGCAGCCCAGCACCACTGGCTCTGCAATCTGACCAGACAGTGGGCCTTCTTGGGCAGCCAGGTGGGCCTTAAATAAGGCTTTCAAATATATTGTTGCAATGAACTGCAGGTTCATCTGTGCATTATATAATAACCTTCTTTATTCTGGTGCCTGAGACCAGATGGCTAAGTAAATTACAACTAAGTCTGCCCCAATGTTCTGACTGTGGAATTTGAGATAATTCCTTTCATCAGCCATCCAAAGAGTTGAGTCTCCTTTGTGTCCTGACCTAGAAGTGGTAATCTTCCACCATGATAAGAGATTTTCAGTATCAGTAAATATAAATTTAAGTTTTATTACTGAATTTTCTGGAGATGAGTTAATGAAAACCTTTGGGTCCCATTTCACTGTGGAAATAACTGACGCCATTTAAGAGTTGTTGAAAAATTTGGGAGAAAAATACAAAGTTATATCATTGCTTTAGTTTTAAAATAGAGATTTCAAAATAAGCCAACTTATTAGAATTCAAAAGGGAACTTCAAAACTCAAATCCCCAATCCACAACTTTCTTTTTTTCCATACAGCCAGATGCTCATCTTCCTTTCACATTAAAAATATCAAGTACTTAGATAGGGAACTGTTCTACTTGTACAGTTATTAAGGACTCAAAGATGACTATAACCACAAAACAAACTGTAATGACTGACTTGAAATTGCTGACAAAAAAAAAATCTTATAAGCCCCAATCATACTATTAGAATAAAGAAATATTGGTTTTGGATTAACAATTGATGGTCCTTTAGACCCCTGTATTACTGAATTAGTTGGGTCTTGAGAAAGCAGTTGAGCAATGATCAGAAACCTTAGTGCAGTAAACAATGATGTATTCTAGATCAGCAGTTGTAGACTCCAGCTATAAATTAAAATCATGGGAGAGGGAGCATTTCAAAATTATTGACGCCCAGGCCCCACACCAGAGATTTTGATATAATTGGTCTACGGGGTTTCTAAGATCATATTTTTCCAAAACTACTCCCACCTCCCCATCCCAACCCAGGAGTTACTTATGTGCCATCAGGTTAAAACTTCTGATCTAGATTAGGTTGTCTAGCTTTTTATGATACTGACCTATTATTTATAATTGATATAAGCAACAAAGACTGACAGGTACACTTGTAAAATATTTCTTTTACAATAATTTATTCTAAATCACTATTCTATGAACTTAATTATTTAGAAAATTACAATTCCTAAGCAAACATAAAATAGCACCTACAAAGTGTTTATAACAAGTAAAAAATATACGTATGTGTATAGATGAGGTATAGATGAGTCACAGATTACTATTTTATTTTTCGGTAGAGCTGTTTGTAAGAGCCTTAGAATGAAATCACAGAATTTTCTATCCAAATACCTCATTGAGGATAGAGGTTAGTAACTTCCCAAGGTTCACCTCATTTATGATAGGTGCTGGTTAGAACCCACATCCTAGTATTCTTTCAAATATTTCCTTGATTTCTTTATTTTCTCTCTTTTTTTTGCTGAGGAAGATTAGCCCTGAGCTAATATCTGTGCCAATATTCCTCTACTTTATATGTGGGTTGCCACTGCAGCATGGCTGGCAAGTACTAGGTCCGCGCCCAGGATTCGAACACGCAAACCCGGGCTGCCAATGCAGAACACACAAACTTAACCACTAGGCCGTGGGGCCGACCCCTAGATTTCATTGTTTAAAAAGTAACCACAACAAATTGTGAGAAACTTAAATAAACATTAGAGGCAGTTTATAAAATATTTGTCAAGACTGTGGACTCTGGACTCAGATAAAATATAGTCTAAGCCTAACTTTAACATTTACCACCCGTGAGACCCAAACCTTTCTGAACCTCAACCTCCTCATTGGGAAAATAAGGAGATTATAATATGATGGCATGAGGTAGAAA